TGAGACCATGTTATCGTTCAAGCTGATTGCACTGTAACTTTCCAGATAGAGAAAAGACTGGTTTGGGTGTTTTAAGTCTTATGGACTCTCAGTCCTAGAAATCCCAGTCCCTCCAGATGAACTTGGACTTAATTGGGAGTAAGAGCAGCTGCAAGATTTTCAGATACCACACAATTTCCGTAACAGTCTACATTTGTACTCATCAATGTTTGTATTTACTGTTGTAAGAGTAATGAGTAGCCCAGCTAGAAAGATTTATCTGCAAGCTAGAGCCATGTGAGCATTTGCAACTGAAGTGTGGTCACTAAATAGAATGTAATTACTTTTTATCTCTTTCCTTCACCCAGTGCCAGCAGAAGCTAACCAGCTTGCCTTCCATGAGGGTGAGCTTCTGTGGAAGTTTCCTGATTGCTTGCAAAGGCACAGATTGCCTGAATCTTTGTGGTAGGGAATATGTTAACTTTGCTTGTTACCTTCTTTTACTAAGTCTACAACTTGCTGTAAAACAGCAAAGCAATCATCAGATTTATCAACCAAAACGAAGTTGTGAAATTACTTATTTTTCAGTATTATTTGAGGGCTCACAACCATAAATGAATATTTACGTATATGTATTTGCACACATCAATAAACACACAGACACAATACACAAATATGCTTCATTTCATACCTTGGACCTAACACACCAGCCTTTACCCTCACAGAGCCCTGCTGAAATCAACCGGACCAATGTGCCAACAGTCCTTTACTACATCCTAACGGTTCAAAGAGAATGGCTCTGTTGTTCCAGTTGCATTGTGAGATTTCTATTGTTTAGTGATATACTACGACGCTTATTAACATCCATCCAATTATCACCACATACTCTTTACTTCTCAGTAGTAATCAGAGCTTGAAGGTTGGAATTAATCTGTGTTCAGTCCCTGATCTACTCAAACCCAGGAGCAGAGCAACAACCATTTCTTTATGCTTTTCCTTCATTTTGAGGGTAGCAAATAACGTTTATCTTGAGGTTTCTTTTTTTCTCGGAAGATGTTGTAGTGACAGAATTGTAGAGAAGCAATTTCCCCTTTTTATTTCTAAAACTAAAGAAAAAAAACCTTCACATTGTCATCAGCTTACTGTACTTTAAAAAACCCCACAGTCATCAGCTTACTTTATTTTAACCCCCCCCCAACCTTGCAATGTAGCTACACACTCCGATCTCTACTTTAGCATTGCTGATCATACCGTTTTGCTGCCGAACCCGGAGAAGACCATGAGGGGGGTGTGTGCATGTGTGTGTAGAGATGTACATACACATTTTGCCTCAGAGAAAGATGCGTTTCCACAAGGATCCTCTCATGGAGGATCAAATAGTAGAACGAACCCTCCAGCGTGGTAGATGTGCTGGAGTGAGTAGGACAGGACGAGTTTCCTGAAGGCCTGGGTCACCAGCACGGAAAGCTGTGCCACCACACCGCACCCGTGGCCCTCTCTGTCGGTCGGCATAAGGTCCTGTGCAGGTATTCGTGAACAGCATTTGCAGACCTGAGTTCATGCAGCAGTACAGCATCCCTCTCAGATGAAATACTATCCTACTCATCCCTCAAAGGTACGCTGAAGCAAAGATAAACAAGGGGCTTGCCTATACTAGAATGGTTACAGGTTTAGTTTTAAGTGAAACTTCCACTGTGTAGAGGTCACTGCAGCAGTACGCCTTCCCTTCAACAAGAGAGCAAAATAAACTGTATTTAGGTAAGGAACAAGAATTTATGGTGGTTTGAAAAAAACACTAAAATATCACATTCCTATGTAATTAAAGCAATGTTTTTTCTAATGTGGATCAATCTGAAGTGACTGCTTAGGGGCAGCAAAGAGAACAGGTACCCAAACGATGTCCCCCCAGACCCTCTTCTCCAGCTACTGGAAAATACCCCCTCCCTTTTTCTCTGCGTCAGAGGTGTTTCAACATGCAGGGAGGATGTCCAGAAGTGCAATGCAGCAGAGCTCCATTAAAGCCAATGGAGTTCTTTCCATTTACAGCAGCCGAGGGGCTCGTCCCTAATTTCTTTCTGCAGAAGAACGTGCAAAGCAGATTTTAGATATTTATTATGAAGCGGTGGACAGGTTGCAGGCTTGATGTACTGCCTAGAGATGGTCCCAGAGTACGAAAGAATGACCAAGAGAGAAAAGGGCGTCTTGTAGGTGACGCCTAATTTGGTTGTTTTCTCCCCTAAACTGAATTTCGCACTTTTTTTGCAGTGAATGTAAGCATCTCATTGGCATGATTGTATTATTCCTAAAATGGGTTGCTAATACTTGAGAAATGCTGTCAGCAAAAAATGGAGTCACGTAAAATGCTTGTAATTATCTCTAAAATTAGCACCCCTTTAAAGAGTGTATTTACACGACCCATCAACAGATCAGTTAAGTACTTTCAGTACGTTTTACTTGTATTTGGCAGAACAATTTCCTTGCCGAAGTACACCAATGAGTGGGAGAGATTGCAGTTAACAAAGTAAATTAGAAATAAATGTTTTGGGAATTATTTTTTTTCTATACTTTGTGTAGGATTTGGAAAGAAAAAAAATAATCTTCGATTCCAAGTTCAAAAAGACCTCACTTACTTACCTTACTCACACTAGCTGCCTTTCTGTTTTAAACCACAAGCCTCTACAGCTGTGAAAGAGTGTGAGCTTGAAAAGGAAAACGATATAAAGTCCAGTGGGTTCCAAATTCTCCGTAAAGAAATTCCCCCAGTTTCTGAAAGTTTTAGGGTGGAGTTCTGGCTTTATTAAAATCCATGGTAAAATTACCATAGGAAATTACCACACAGGCATAACAATACACTTTTAATCTGAAAGGGTTGTTGGTTTTTTTTTTTACTTAATGAAAGTTGGCACATTAGGGAATGTATGAGATTTCATTCCACCAAAAGAAGCAATAAACAAAGAAAATAGATTAATAAATGAACTTGCCAAAGTAAAACTAGAGTTGCAGGAGCATATATCGTAAGAAATGAGCACTTTTTTTTCCTAAAATGGTGGACAAAGTCACTATTAAAGTAAAATGTGACATGTGGGCAAACTTTGTCAATGAGGTATTTAAAAGTATTTTAATTTGTATTTACATTTGTGTTTATGTTTATGTTTTAGGATTTAATTTTTTTCCCCTTACACTTTTAAAATGAAAGGGTTGTTGGTTTTTTTTTTTACTTAATGAAAGTTGGCACATTAGGGAATGTATGAGATTTCATTCCACCAAAAGAAGCAATAAACAAAGAAAATAGATTAATAAATGAACTTGCCAAAGTAAAACTAGAGTTGCAGGAGCATATATCGTAAGAAATGAGCACTTTTTTTCCCTAAAATGGTGGACAAAGTCACTATTAAAGTAAAATGTGACATGTGGGCAAACTTTGTCAATGAGGTATTTAAAAGTATTTTAATTTGTATTTACATTTGTGTTTATGTTTATGTTTTAGGATTTAATTTTTTTCCCCTCTCTAGTTAGGAATCTGTAAGCTCAGTAGAGCCAAACCCTATGATTTCCTTTGTGAGAAGGACATATAGTTGCTGAATAATTTATATTGTATTCATAAGATAATTCGTAAGTGCTGGTGCTTCTGACCCCCCCAGATCTGAATGCTTTCCGTATTAATAATGCATTCATCCTCCTGATCCCCTGTGAAATAAGGTGAGGATATTATCTTACAGAGAAAGCAGCAAACGCAGAAAGCGATAGGGTTTTTGACTGTAGTTACAACAATACGATCTTGGTCAGGACATTTTGATGGCAAATCATTAAATTTAAAGCAGGGTACGTGTGGTGTGAATCTGTAGGCAGTTACTGCGGATGCAGACAGCATGAGCGACCGTTTGGGAACAAGTTATAGAAGTATAGGCTCCGCTTACTCATGTGGATGAGGTCTTTTACCCCTCAGCAAAGATAATTTGGATTTTAGTGGTACTTCCTATCTACCTGCGTGTGGAACAGGCAAAGAAATTGAGCTGGTGTGTGATGAAGTGGGTAGGATGGGGTGATGGTCAATATGCCAGTGGGCAGGGCTGGGGTTCAGGGGGACCTGGGCAGGTTGGAGAAATGGGCCAACAGGAGCAACGTGAAGTTCAACAGAGGCAAAAGCAAAGCCCTGCCCCAGGGCTGGAGTAAGGCCCTGCAGCAGAAACCAGAGGGGCACGAGAAAGTCGATGGCAGACAGGAGCGGGTCTGGCAGCGGCGCCCCGGGGGCTGGAGCCCACCTTGCTCGAGGAGAGGACAGGGGCACGGCATTAGTTTGGCTTGGGGAAGGGGAGACCCCGTGACTCCCTGCAAACACCTGGTGGGAGAGGAGGGAAGAAACAGTGTCCCAGCTTTGAATTTGGCCCCGTGCCAGGCAGGGGCTGGGACAGACGACCCCCTTTCCACCCAAGTTTGTGTGAGTCCGTGATTCCAAGTTCACAGGCTGACTCTGCAGGAGCATGGGGACCGGGGTGAGAGCAGCACCTCAGTTACAACAGGATATCCTCAGGAGCCTAATTTCTGAGACTCTTACGCGATTGCGTACAAGTGTTTGTTTTACTTTGCCCTAAGAGTCTGCTGAAAGGCAAAACCATCCTATAACATGCCATAGGGGAAGGCAGGAGTTCAAACACTTCCAACAACAATAAAAAAGGAGAATGTTTGTTTAGAAATCTGAGCATGATTTTAATGGCCTAATATTAATCAGCCAGGTTTGAAAGTGATGGTCAAATTATAAATAGAGCTGAGAGGCACAGCATACAAAAATACAGTTGTATTTGCATTATAAATTTTATATAAATAGAGGGGAAGAAAAGCCCTAAAATTTTTCAGGCTTGAATTCCAGCCGCTCTGTTAACATGAAACCTGTTCTTTCCCTTGTTATTTTTCATTCCTGCGCCTGTGAAACCTGGGTTGGGACTGGCCACCTCTCCCTTCCGCTGCTGCCTCCTCCCTCTCCAGCCTTTACAGCCCTGTAACTGCTAATTTGCTTTGCGTAAGAGAGATCAAGAACAGGTTCAATGTTTCTAATTGCAGTCTGCCCCCTTCCATGCTAAAACCTGGTGCGGGATCATTAACAGGTGGGTTCCGTTGGAGGTATTTAGGTCTAGTGTGGCTGCAGCTGCCTGGGCGAATATATTATTTGGTTAAACTTTTTAAGCGTCCCTTTTCCAGCCTGGGCTCGCCTGTGTGCAAACTGCAACTGCTCAGATCCCCCGGTAGTTTAGAGACTGCTGCCATGACTGGCAGTAAGACCCTGATTTTGCTCTGCAGTTGCTGTTCTGTGCAACCCTTTACACCAGCTGAATTCATAGCCTGCTCGTTACTTAATCAGCCTCTGAAGAAACAAGCGTGGAAAATATTTTTTTCTTCTGGAACTTTTTTCACTGAGTTTTAGATGCTGTCTGTTAAAGAAAATTTATCAGGCGTGGTATGAGCTATGCTGCCTACTTATCCCTTTCTATCCATCCTCCAGCTTGCGTTTTCCTTCTTGTCTCTCTCTGCTACTGCTAATATACTGTTTTCTGCCCCTGTGTTCCTCCTAAGGTGCCTTGACATTTGCGTATTTATTCCCTAAATTGTACCAGCATGTCCCCATTAAAAATAAAGTACCATGTCATACTGTTCCTGATATCACTTAGAGTCTACTTAGCTTATGTTGTAGCTGTAAGAGTCAGTAGCGCTACAATAGGTGCCCCTATGCCAGGATCCTGCCGGGTGGCTTTGGGGGAAGCCCTCGGGGTGCCCTGGCATTGGGCACGCAGGGGTTCAGCTGTGGCGAGCAGCTGGTACTGGGCTTCTCACTTCTGGGTGAAACGTTTGACTGCTGACACCAGTAGACGTTATTGCTTTGACTTCGACAAGAGCCAGTCTGGATCTGCACAGGCTTTGGTGAAAATGTAATTCAGCTCACAGAAAGCTTTTCTTACTTCTGGGAGGTTTCTTACTCCAACAGGTTGTGAAGCAAATGGCCTGGATGGTAAATCTATTTGTCAGCCCTAAGTAAGAATATTCTGACTTGAAATTCCTGACTTGGGCAAGAGGGAAACGTGCTATGCAGCAGGTCATAATAAAACATAGCATCTTTTCCCTGAGTTTTGCATCCATTCAGCCACTCTTAAGGGTACAGTTATAGACTGGATCGCTCTTTGCTCTTCCTATCACTATCGTCACCCTTTCCTGCCTTAATTTGCTCACGGTGGGGGCATCGGATCCAGTTTTCCTACACACTCAAACATATGGATTCAAGATGTGGGCTGATCTTGCAGAAGGATATTGCATTTTTTACTTTCTCTGAAACTGAATAAGCAATTGTCACAATCCAAGCTATTGTGCTGAGTTTAAAAAAGAAAAAAAAGGTTATAAAATGGGAGACTCTGTATGGGTGGCAAACCCGGGCGCTAGGTAAGTGTGCAGAGCAAGAATATGCTTATTAAATAGGCAACAGAGAATTAGAGGAAACTATTTCAGTTTACATTCAAGTATATTATAGGACTGTTTATAAGGCCCAAAAGAACTTCCCGAGCATTAACACATGCAGTATGAGACGCAGAGGTGGTAGAATCTATATAAAGGTGAACAGACATGTAAAACCAGAATAACTTGTTAGCATTTACATTGTTGCTGCCTTGAGGCTATGGCAATTATTTCACCCACGTTTTAGAAATTCATTCAGCATTTTTTTTCTGTGGGGTGGATTAAAAGACAGCATTTTTTTAAGGTCAGGGAACAATGTCAATGATAAATCAAGCTAATCTTACGCTATTCGTTCAGAATAATGAAGGACACATGTGAGAACCCTATAGAAAAAGGTACTGTTACTAATAATGGATTATGAAAAGAGGAGGGGAAGGTCAGGTTTATGTTCCTTTTCCTTCTCTTTAATTATAGAGATCAGATGACGTATATATCTCTGGATCTACACATTTGTGTCATGGTAGAAATTAATCTCTTATCACCCTTTCCTAGGCGACTCCTCGGAGTCTCCAGACTTCTGGACAAAGAAGAAGAGGAGAAAATTATGACAGCAGAAAAATCTGTGCAAATAAATCCTGAGTAATGAGAGGGAAGGTGAGTTTGATTCGCACTGTTTGGTTTTGACTTTTAACGCAAGTACTGAAAAACACTCAGGAGAAAATTTATCTCTGTCTTTCTTCGGGGAAGAAAAAGTTCAAAGCGAACATGTGAGGTCTCTGATGACTCCTTGAGCAAAGTTATGAGAGAATTAGCCTTCCTGGTAGCTTAAATGTGAAAAAACAAGAAGAAAATCGCTTCCCTTTACACATTTTATCATGCATTTAACCTTCTTCATAAATTATTGAGAAACATGCCAATTAATAGTTTATCTTTTAAAACATTCTTATCTAGATTTTTTGAATAGAGAACTGGATGGGCATTCATCCATCTTTTTATTACTTTTTTCCCACATTAGGGAGTGCTATACATTTCCACAAACCATAACAAATGGTCCCATTTGCTGTGGGATTTTCTCTCAGCTGGGACACAGACTGTGGCATGTCTTTACTATCAAAAAGATGTCTGTTTTAAAGCAGGGGAATCAGTATGCATTACTATCCTGCTCTAAAATCCCAGTAGCGTCACATACCATTTTTACGACACTGTACCTCAGTGAGGCCAGCACTGAACTTTGCAACAGGAGGTGACTTTACCCAAGTATTTTAGGATAAAACCAAGAAAGATTTGTTTCCTTGAGGGTTTTACTGGGGGCAGGGGGGGAGAAAAAAAAACTCTTTTAGTTATAACAACAACAAAATAACCCTCTTTTGTGGGGAGTAGTGGGATCTAAGAAAGATCAGAAACAGAGGGAGGGAAAAAAAGATATCTCTGTTGACTCGTCCTGTACACCACTGCACCTCGACTCTCATGATGTACCCATTGAATGGACTCCGTAATTTTAAAATAAGGTCAGCTTTTCAACAAGCGTGCATTGCTATGAATCCCCTGCGGTCCATGGAGCTATGGTACTCACAGTAGTTGAAACCCTGACCTTTTAAACTTCTGCCTTTGTCTGTCTGTATCACCGCTTTTCCCTTTTTAGCTGTCTATGGAAACATAGTAAAATGAATTTTTTACAGCATTTAATTACTGCGTACATTGACATCCTCCAAGAGAGCTTGAACCTTGGGATTTATTCACATATAGGATTTATTCAACATCTAATTATTATTAATTGTTTAATTAATGATAAAATTATTAATTTTATCATTAAACCTTAATGGCTACTGGAACTTAGTCTATACCTGAAGGGACACACCTATGAAATTAAAATGGCAAACCCTGTTGCTGGAGGTGCTCCTTGTGCCACAGAAAGGGTTCTGTTGCCAGTATATTTAAACCAGCTCTCCAAACCAAGATGTGTTGATAAAAGGCACGCATTTTGCTTGAACAACTGCATCTATATTCAGGTTTTGCTAGCTGTATCAGTTTGAAGTAAAGTAACAAAATGCTTTCATAGATCAGCTTCTTGCTTCAATCTTAAAGCAAAGCCTCCATAAAACTTTTAAACTTGAATAAAAAAGAGGAGAAAGGAGGTATTAGTGATATCTGAGTTTGGTTGCTGTCATGTAAGTCAAGTAAAAAGAAATTACACCTACTCTGGGTGGAACGGTGATTCAGATCGTTCACCTTTAAGTTGAAGAGCCTCTAAAAGGAAATTTGGTTCTGTTTCTAAGTGGATGTGTGTGGGAGACTGACATTAACACCTTGCACTGAAGAAATTATTCTCTCGGTCCCTTTTCACAGCTGACTAAACACAAACAGCGCTGGTTTAACAAAGAACCACAGACGGCAGGACTGATTATAGCCCACGGTGAATGAGGAGCTTGATTCAACAAGGTAAATGAAGGTCAGAATAATCACGGATCATATTTCCCCTACCCACCGAAGCCCTTACATTACATTATACATGTAATTGTGCTACATTTCTAGAATGTCAGCCCAAAGCCTGGATTCTCCACCAGCCTCATTAGCCCTTGGAGCAGACTCTGCTGACTTTGAGGTCCATACCCGTGCCACTTCTACTGCATGAGCGGTCAGTGTAAAAATACATTAAAAGAGCAAGAGAGGAGCAGACTTTTAAAGGTGTCAGGATCTCTTTCTTAGCTACATTGCTGAGCCATATTAACCACAACATGAAAGATTCCTTTATTTAACAGGACAGGTGTGTACTTTAAAAGATCACTTGACAATTACCTTTGATAGATGTTCTAGTAGCTTAGGTCACCTAATTTGGGCTCCAAGTCGGAGGTAACAGCTAGCATAAATCTCTAATTTCCCTGCTCTGGTATTGCCTTAAGATAACCCTATCTGCTCCACTACATTTTTTCCCAATTACTCTATGAGGTTTGACTGCATTTAAGGAGATAAGGACCTCAGGAAAAGCTCTTGACATTCAAGACTTCGAGCCAAATATTTTTATTAAGGTCTTTCTCACACCGTGAGTATTAAGTATTTATAGCCATACTGGGCCAAGAAGAAGGCAGCACTCAGGTACTTCAGCTGGATTGTTTCTATAAAGTTGGCAGACCTTCTGAATATTTTAATGACAGCATAACTCCGTTCACTTAACATGATTCAGAAAAAATATTACGAGTGGCCATTTAAACTCTATTTCTCCGTTTCCCAAATCTGCCTGAAAACTCTTGGAAATCACAGTAATATACCTGAAAACAGCTAACAGGTGCATCTGCATGCCACGATGGGGGTGCCCTGCATAACCTCTCACAGGGCTAGAGACAGCAACTGCTGCAGATGGGGGGACGCCGTCTGCTACTGCTTCCAGCAGTCAGACTGCCTTTGATACCTTTGTCTGACTCTGCAGTATTCAGGGTAGAAAACATCTATATGTTTTCCTGGCAGGCACTTTGTGTACATTGCCCATTTAAATCAGAATGGAAATTTTACTTCAGGCTAACAAATGTAGGGCAAGTTTGAGGAAAAAGGTTGGAAGCCCCTAACATGACCATTTGTTGTGGTTTAACCCCAGCCAGCAGCTAAGCACCACACAGCCGCTTGCTCACTCTCCCCCCAGCGGGATGGGAGAGAGAATTGGAAGGGTAAAAGTGAGAAAACTCATGGGTTGAGATGAAGACAGTTTAATAATTGAAATAAAATAAGATGATGATGATAATAATAATAATAATAATAATAAATTGTAATGAAAAA